CAAAAGATCGTTGTTGTACGTCCTCCTCTTTCTCTCTCCTCTCCGTCCTCCTCATCATCTCCCTCCTCTTGCTCCTCTCCTCCGTCGGCCACTGCAAGACCGTCTTCATCTCCTACTACACCCCCACCATCACCACCTCGACCGCCACGCCATCCCTCTCTGACCACCACATGGGCCCCACCTCCTGCTTCTACGCCCATGACCCAAAACCTCCTTTTCTTTTCCCTAGAAGCAGAACGAAGACTTCTAAACCGCCATTGACTCTCAAATCTCTCTCTCAAGGCTCCAAATTTCCCTTTTTCTTTCTATTTTCGACATAAAATTTTAATCTTTTTTCCTAACAATTCGGATTTCTTCTGAATCCAAGAGTAAAGATGCAGAACGAAGAGGGAACCATCGTCGATCTCTACATCCCAAGAAAATGACATGAATATAACATTTTTTGATTGATTTCTTTTTATTTAGGGTTTCATTTGTTGATTGTTTTTTTTTCAATTTTACTCAGTTCAGCGACGAATCGATTGATTACTGCAAAGGATCGTGTCGCGGTCTAGATTTTGATGAATGGTTTGAATTTTGTTGGATTGCAAATGGTTATGATGTTAATGAGAGGTGTTCTTCGCTTCTTTCTCTAGTTAAGGCTTTTGATTCTGTTCTTGCTGTTTAGGATGGGTTTTGTAATCTGAAGTAGGTTCGGTTTTTCTTTTATGATTAAAGTCTGAATTATGATGTTTTTTCGGGGGGGCAATTTGGTGATGATTTTGGGGATTTTCTGTTGATTTTAGATTGATTTGAAGCTGAAATTGTGTCTAAAGATTTTGGTTCGAGAGATGATGAGTTATGAAGCTAATAATCTCATTCTAGGGATCAAAAAGAATTGTCGAGGCATTAGGTGAGTAAAGGACCTTTTTGCAAATTTATTGAGATATAAATCATTCATTTTGTGATGAGATTGAATTTGATTATAGGTCTTCATGTACCTCGATCACGAAGTACTGTTCGAAGAAACTGCCGAAGGATTGCTCGGTTCTCACACTGAGCAATGGCAAGATTGTATTCCAGAGAGAATCCACAGGTTTAGTTTGATCTGGTTTGATACATTAAGTTTAGCTTTTGTTGATTGTCTACAATCTATGAAATGAAACCATGTTTTTGTTACAAAAAACAGAAATTGTTCCAGAAACCTCAGTTGAAAACGAAGCAATCATGATTATATTTTCAATTCTCCTTAGCCATTTTTCAATTGTTTGCCAGTTATGGTAATGCTCAACTTGTGATCCATAGGGATGTTAAGTCCTCTAATATCCTTCTATCTGATGATTTTGATCCACATGTTCGGTTTCTAAATTGTTAAAATTAAAGTCTAAAACATGTCATTTAGTTAGTTTTTTGATCCACAGGTTCGCTTTGAAAGATTTTAGTTCTCATAGATTAGATTCTTGATACCTAAATTCTCATATTTCTTTTCTTTGAACAACTAGATTAGTAAATTATCTTAAATCACCTAGGTGTATGTGTTTGTACAATAGTATTCTGAACTTTTGCATGGATTGCAATTGTGATCATGGGGGTCAGTGGCTCAGGAAAATCGTAAGTCTTCTAACTTTAAATCTACCAAAATGAAGAATTTAAAGTTAAATGGTAGCAAATAAACTACAGAGAAGTTTAAAAGAAAACTTTTTACAAAGAATGGGGATGCTTTAAAGAAGGTAATGAATATTAGATTACTGTAAAATGTCGTGTTTAACAATCTGGGCCTAAATATTTGTAGGCGTCTAAAAATGAATATTAGATTACTGTAAAATGTCGTGTTTAACAATCTGGGCCTAAATATTTGTAGGCGTCTAAAAATGTCCGTAGGTATCTACACGCAGCTCAAGACAAAGAGAAGATGATGGACATCATTTTCTAAGTCTAAACGGGATTATCCAAAGCCGTAAAGAAGCCAACGAGCGCATGAAGCAAGTTGGCCAAGCGTACAAGTTAACAAATAGACAAAGTACGTAAAATGACGGAACAACAGAACAAGACCAACCCGGAGAATCGCCCTGGCAGCCGAGCCACACCAAAAATCTTGGCCAAGGCCAGCTGACCTAACCAAAGCCAGGACAGCCTTGGCTGACCCGGCCAAAGCCGAGATAACCTTGGTTGTCCAGCGCCCAAGCCGGGACAGCTTGGTTGTCCCACGCCTAGGCCAGGATAGCTTGGTTGTCCCGTGCCCAGGCCAGGACAGCCTTGGTTGTCCGCGCCAAAGGCGGGTAAAGACTGTCCCGCGCCCATGCGGGATACCGTTGTCTATCGTGCATTCAACTGTCCGAAACACATTTTTGACGGTTTTGTTGATATTTCTCGGGATTTGTTCGTTCCATAGCATCCCAACTGACTTGATATCATATCCAAATATGGTTACGCCATTGTTAACTAAAGATATGGTCAAATCCCTCATTCTCATCCAAATAACCGCATTCAATGCCTTATAAATACAAGCCCAGGGGCTCCATTCACAAGGGACGAATTTTAATAAAAGAGGAGGAGGTGCTGCTTGTTTTGTGAGGGCATCTCACAAAATTTCAAAGAGGGCTAACAGATCTTGATGAATTTCGGCATAAAGAAGGAGCAATTCGAAGGATCTGAAGCCATGTTCCCATATTCCTTGCGATCAGGCTTGGACTTGATCTCGAAAAGAGTAGTGATCTCATTTGGTCGAGATCATTTACTTCAACGATTAAATTATTTGTAAAGTAAGAGCTTTAATTAATCTTCTGTCATCCGGATCTGATCCGAGATGGTCCACGGATAAACCCCGTCATGGGCAAAGATTTCACGTAAACAGAGACTAATAAATAGAATCTGTGTGTTGTTTGAAAGAGATTGTAATTTTTATTTTCATTGTGTAAAAGTCTTATAAAAAGACCAATCCTTTTTTGAACTTATTATAACGATCAAAGTTGTAATGAGTTATACAATGAAGAAAATAATTTTCGACACGAACAATATCATGATTAAATATATTTTAAAGAAAGTAGCTTTTAAGTAGGTTTTATGCACTTCCAATGCACGTGGTCAAATATCATGATTAAGTATATTTGATTTATTTCTTTACTAAAACTTTATTTTGATAACATGTTTAATATTTGCAGAAAATCTTTTGGAAATCGTGATTTACATGGGTCTAAATACTAGTTATAACAAGTTCACTCTAATGCGTCAAAAGATTCTTATTACATATGCATAGTAGCAAGACTCATATAACTTTAACTTTCAGCATAAAACACCCTAAAAGATCCGTCTCATGTTTCAAAGTTCTGAGATACAGATAGAGCTATCTAATTTTCATCTGAAAAAGATTAAAAAATAACGGGGTGAGTTTACACTTAGTGAACAGAAAACTTATCATCAGCGGATCAGATAAGTTTAAGAATAGCTATCGTCAAAAAAATGATTAAGAAACACATAATATTTCGAATAAGAGGAATTTCCAAGAATAGATGTGATATTTCATAAAAGAATATTCACAAATTATGAAACAATACGAATGAACACTAAGTACTTTTAAAATCATAATCATCCATCTAAATCCACACATGCAAAACTTCCTCAGTTGTCACACTAAAGCTATGCAAATTAAAGCCCAGTAGCATGGGAATGCGCATCAAATCACTATATGTTAACCCGGGGACAGAATGTACCTAATACTACCACAAGTTGCCCGAAGGCCACTTCACGTTTACCAAAAAGGTCACTTTAACACTAGTCGGTACATTCAATATCATATGATAGACTTAAACAAATCACTTCACTATGACTACGATGAAACTTTTTCTCCAGTGGCTATGCTCAAGTCTATTCGGATCCTACTTGCTATAGCTGCTGATGAAACTTTTTCTCCAGTGGCTATGCTCAAGTCTATTCGGATCCTACTTGCTATAGCTGCTCACTATTACTATGAGATCTGACAAATGGATGTTAAAACTACATTTCTAAATGGTGATTTAGAAGAGTGCATATATATGACGCAACCAGAGGGTTTTGTAGTCAGTGGGAGTAGTGGAAAAGCATGTAGATTGCTTAAATCTATTTATGGACTGAAGCAAGCATCTGTAGTCAGTGGGAGTAGTGGAAAAGCATGTAGATTGCTTAAATCTATTTATGGACTGAAGCAAGCATCCGGAGATGGAACATCTGTTTTGATGATGCTATCAAAGAGTTTGGTTTCATCAAAAATCCAGATGAACCATATGTGTATAAAAGAATAATTGGGAGTATTATATTGTTTCTTATTTTATATGTAGACGATATACTCTTAATCGGTAATGACATACCGTAATTACAAGCGGTTAAAATTTGGCTATCAAAAAGATTCTCCATGAAAGATTTAGGTGAAGCATCATGTGTACTGGGTATTCAGATCTATATAGATAGATCTAAAAGGATGTTAGGATTATCGCAATCTAGATACATTGGTAAAGTGCTAAAATGGTTTAGCATGGAAAATTCTAAGAAAGGTTTTGTACCTGCATCTCCTGGAATCTCCCTCTCTAAAAAGATGTCTCCCCAGACTGATGAAGAGAGGAAACGCATGAGTCTAATTCCTTATGCCTCGGCAGTAGGATCGATCATGTATGTCATGTTATGTATTAGACCAGATATCGCTTATTCACTCAGTTTGGTAAGTAGATACCAATCTAATCATGGAGAAGAGCACTAGAAAGCGGTCAAGAATATACTTAAGTACCTTAAAAGGACTAAGGAGTTATTTTTGATATACGATAAAAGTGACCTCCGAATGGAGGCTTTTTCTGACTCAAGCTTTCAGAGCGATATCGATGATAGTAAGTCTGTATCAGGATATGTTTTCACCCTCAATAGAGGGGCTATCAGCTGAAAAAGTTTCAAGCAGGATACAGTAGCAGAATCGACTATGGAAGCTGAATACATTGCAGCCAATGATGCAGCTAAAGAAGCTGTTTGGATGAGGAAGTTCCTTTTAGAGCTGGAAGTTGTTCCCACCATTAAAGATCCAGTACCTTTATACTGTGATAATAATGTTGTAATAGCTCTGACAAAGGAACCCCGATCTCACCATAAGTCCAGACACATTCTGAGGAAGTATCACTTGGTCAAGGAGATTGTTGATTGCCGGGAGATCAAGATTGAAAGAGTAGAGACAAAAGATAATATAGCAGATCCATTCACAAAGGCAATTGCTCGTTCACAATTTGAGAAACTTGTTGAGCTATTAGGTATTAGATACTATAATAATTGGCCTTAGTGCAAGTGGGAGTTTGTTAGCTATAGGTGTCCTGCAGGCAATTATTGTATATTATAACAGGACCTATATGTATATAACATCCTTGTTCAAAATAATAGTATGCTATTTTGGTCAGATTTATCTGATGTTCTAAATATACAGATAATGTCCTTAGAATAAATACTAGACTATCAGACATTTCGGATAGTGATCGTAATGAAGAGATCTGATTAGTCGGTAACGTATATTCTAAAATGTTCCTAGTTGATGAAGTGTTGAGATAGGACATCATCATTTTGGTTTAGACTAGTGTATACTTTATTTCTCCTTTTGAAAGAGATGATCAATCTCTTAGATCATTGATGTGAGACATCAAGATACAGTATACAGGTGACTCATTAGTGAATGAGTTGACCGAACGACTCGTCGAGAACATCTAGTTGGTAATATACTTAACTGTCAAATAGAAGTTCTCAAGTGATATAGTACATAGTAGTCTCTTAACTTGAGGCATGAGTGCTATATCTTATATGTCAGTAAAGATGTATTTAGACTTTTACCTAACCACAGTTCTTATTGAATTGTGCATAACGGTTCTTGTTGGGTACATCCCAAGACATAAGTAGATATTGAGATGCCAAGAAGAGATTCGTCTCTCCCAGTATAGGGGTTGATGTCTGTAGGCATCGAAAATTGCCTATAGGTCTCCACGAACGGTTCAGTGTTAGAAAGCGACGATGAACGTCCCCATCCGATCCACAGGAGTTCAATTGACGTCGACGAACGACTGAAGTGAATCGACGAGCTACATGAGCGGATAGGATTTCGGAACAACGAAGACCCGGACCGATCGGGAACCCGGCACTGTTCACAAAAAGGACAATGCCC